TCCTCATCCCTCTCCTCCTCCCCCTCAGACGCCCCTCGCGTCGCGTGAAATGACAAAAGGCAATGTTTCAAACGGTTTCGGCCCCGTGCCCTGAGCTGCCCTCGGGGCCGTCAAACAACAGCCCCTGGGATGATGAACCGATCCCTAGAAGGGGTCTAGGCCTTTGGAGGTTCACGTTATTCGAATTACTCCGGCGGAAAGACCCCGCACGGGAATCGGTTTAGCTCGCCTGATGATATCCTCTTGCCCCCTCCTCCTTCTCCTCTTTCATCCTCCTTCTCCTCTTGCCTCCTCCTCCTCCTGCGTCCGCCTCTTCCTGCTTCCTCCTCCTCCTCCTCCTTCTCCTCCTTCTCCTCGTCCTCGTCCTCCCTACTCCTGCCTCCTCCTTCTCCACCTCCTCATTATCTCTCTCTATCTCTCTCTTTCTCTCTTTCTCTCTCTCTCTCTCTCTCTCTCTCTCTCTCTCTCCTCCTCGTCGCCTGTCCTCTCCTCCTCCTCCCTTCCTCCCCTCCTCCTCCTCCTCCTCCTCCTCCTCCTCCTCCTCCTCCTCTTCCTCTTCCTCCAGCCTCCTCTTCCTCCTCCTTGGGCCTCCTGCCTCCTCCTGGGGCCTCCTGGGGTCTCCCGGAGCTTCCCGGGGCGCCCAAAAAGCCATCTGGAGCCTCCTGGGGTATTTTTCCTTATGCTGCTAATTAATCTCCTCCTCCTCCTCGTCCTGCCTCCCCCTCCTCCTCTTCCTCCTGCCTCCTCCTTCCTCTCCTCCTCCTCCTCCTCCTCCTCCTCTTATCGTCCTGGCTATTCCTCTTCATCCTCATGCTTATCACCTGCTCCTGCTTCCTCCTCCTCCTGCCTCCCCTCCACAACATCCTGCCTAATCCCCTCCTCTCATCCTCCTCCTCCTACTCCTTCTCCTCCTCCTTCTCTCCCTCTTTCCTCTTCCTCCCTCTTCCTCTTGCTCTTCCTCTTCCTCCTCCTCCTCCTCCTCCTCCTCCTCCTCTTCATTTTCCTCCCCATATTCCTCCTCCTCCTCCTCCTCCTCCTCATTCTCATCCTCGTCCTGCCTCTTCAGCTGGCCTCCTCCTGCCTACTCTTCCTCCTGAGGCATACTCCTCCTCCTGGAGCCTCCGAGGGCTCCTGGAGCCCGGCCTCCTCCTCCTCCTGCCCATGCCTCCTCCCTGGGTCTCCTGCCTCCTCCTGGGGCAACCGGGAGCCTCCGTGGGCTTGCTGGAGCCTTCTGGGGCGGGGCAGCGGGGGGGATGAGGCGGGGAGGGGGAGGCTGAGGAAGAAATGGAGCTCCGAGGAGGAGGAGGAGGAGGAGGAGGAGGAGGAGGAGGGGCAGGCTGAGGAAGAGATGGAGCTCTGAAGCCTGGTCTCCTGCATGCTAAGCAGTGGCGGCCAGGACTTCGAGCGGAACAGCTTGCCCCACGGCTTGCCCGCGAGGTCGTCCTGGAGGAGCCGCGGGCTGCGCGGGGGGGCACCGGCGCCGGCCCAGCGTGCACACGACGGGCTTGGGGCCGGCGCGCGGACGCTCCGGGCGAGGCCAGCAGCGTCCGCGTGCCAGTCCCGTGCCCGGGACGCACCGGGCCAGGTATGGCGTCAGCATTGCATCTTCCCATCCCCGAAACCTTGCTCAAGCACTCATTCTCGTCGATAGTGATCCGCCACCGCGCCTGCCGCAGAAAGTACCGCCTGCAAGACCACCCCGGAGAGGGCCCTGGCTCCTCGCAGGGGCCAGGCTGCACCCGTGACTTTTGCGGCTGACACGTGGGCCGGGGAGCACGGTTACACCGTGGTGCATGCGCGCGTGCACACCACCAGCCCTCCTGGGCGGCGCGGCGGCGGCATAAGGTCTCTCGGATCCTGTTCAAGAGCCCCGTGTCCCCACATTCGGGGAGGGTCTGCCGGTCCCTCTGCCCCCCTCCTCTGGATTCGGGCGGGGGGGGGGAGCGGAGCGGCCAGAGGGTCGCAGGCGGCCCAAGCCTCCCAAAGCGCCGCGGGTAGCCAGGATCTTCGCTGCCCCGACACGCAACGCGCAACACGTAGCGTATTGATACGGAGCTCAGCACGCAGACTGAACACGTAGGTTTGACGCGATACGGTCGCGAAAACGTGGGCCAACACGTTTAACCAACCAGCATCGCATTGGCAAGGAAGTTTTGAGCACGGTGCGTGTTGCGTATCGAAACGGGCGTATCGAGGCAGCGAAGCCCCTGACATACTGACTAGGTCACCTACCTTCGCGCATCGCGGGCCGCGATTACCTTCGCACCCTCGCGCCGCCCCCTCGGAGAACGGTAACTGCTCTGGCCCAAACCACGACCCGCGAAGCGCGATTCTCTTCGCGCCCCCGCGCGTGACCTAGACACCTAGACTGAGGTCCGGATGAAGCAGAACAGCTGGCGCGCGACTTGCAGACGGGCAGTTCCAGTGGCCCACAGTTTTCGTCGTAGAGGCGCCGGTGCTTGTGGCAGTCGGGCTGGTAGCTTCTGGCAGTCCAGTCTGTCTGTAGCAACGGCGCCGCCACTGGCCCTTGATCCTTCTGGTGGTTCCGGTGGTCCCCGTCCTCCCCTCGTCCACCTCCTCGGCTACACGCAAGAGTGACCCTGGGTAAGCGTGACCTTCGGTGCGCGGCTTTCTGGGGGTCGCGGGGGGACCGAACCCAGTCGCGGGGGGACCGAACCCAGGTGCGCAAGACGCGACGATCGCATCGCGTTCGGCGATCGGGGGACCCCAGTGGGCCCGCACCAAAGCTCACTCCTGCGAAAGGTCACTCTTACGTCTGTTTCACCCTCCTCCTGGACCTCCACCTACCCCGGCCGTGGCCAGTGACTGGCACCTTCGCGAGCCTCCGAATCTGCAAATCGCTCCTCTCCAACACCTCGAGTATCTGCTGACCCGGGTCAATCCAGACCCAGCTCAGTCAGGCCTTGCAGAATGCTGCAAGATCCTGCAAGAACCTGCACCTAAGCCTGGGTCAACGCGGAGGATTCTGCAAGATCCTGCAGGATCCTGCACCCAGGCCCGGGTCCATGCGAACCTGGCCCTGCAGGATCCTGCAAGATCGGGCGCTCTGGCTGACCCCCGCCTCAAGGTTCCCGACCCCCGCACTCCTCCCGAATTCCGGGGAGGTCGTTAGGGGAGCCTACGTGCCTCCCGCTACTTCGAGTGTTCGCTAACTTTAGGTCGGGCATGTCCTCCTACAGGCGGATTTCGAAGGAAACATGAACAATTCAAAATACACTCAAAAATAATCAAACTAGCACAAAATTGCCCCCAGGCTACTTTTGGATTTGTTTTGGAAGATTCCTCCTGTAGAGTTGTGGATGCCATGACAACGGACACTCTAACAACCCTATCATTGATTTGGCATGTGTTTAAACCGTGTAAAACATGTTCTAAACATGTTTCAACCATGCGTCTACATGTTCAAAACATGTTTGAAACATGTGTCAGACATCTGGCAATTAGTTGGCAGCATGCTTCCTCTCCCTTAACCGACTTCCACAACTGTAGAGGACCTTGCCCGACTCAGCGCTGACTGTTCACGGTGGAGCGGCTGACGTGGGACGAAGGTAAGCGTGCACCCGCCGTACACCTCTCTTGGGGACCGCGGTTGCAGTTCGGGGACCGCTCAGGGCCCCCCCTTCTCGGGCCGCCTGCCTGCCGTCCTCGATCCTTCCAGGTGGATTGGAGAGGGGATCAAACACTTTTGGTCTGCGGGTCGGGAGCGGGCCCCTTCCGGTCAAGAGCTAAACTGGACGCGGGTAGCCCTAATTGGGGAGACGGGGCGCGGGCGGGCGGGGCCTCAGGCGGCCGGAGGGCTCAGAAAACAGGCGGTGCCGAAGATCTTGCACAGGACAAGGTGCGCCATGGACTAGAGGGGATCAAACACGAGGACCATGACCAAGACGGACCGCGGAACATCAGCGCCGATCCTGGTCACCGCCCATCCTGCTCAGCGTCGATGTGTGGATCATCCTCGCGGGCCGGCGGCGGTCGGCATCCACGATGACCAAGATCGGCGTCTACAAGCTCCCGCGACATCTTGGCCACTGTCCCTGTGCTTCCTCATCGATGTCTTCCCCCCCGACGTTTGAGACGGAGCCAGGACGAGGATCAGATCTGGTGAGGGGATATCTTTGAGCAGGGACCGACCGTCGCGGCATTCCTCTAGTCCTACCACGAAATGTTCTTAGAACCCAGAAATGTTCTAAGAACAAAAACAATGTTCTTAGAACATGAGCCCGACGTGTTGAACCAAGACAGTCCCGGCCAGAAATGTTCTAGGAACACTTCGTGGGAGCCACAAAATGACCTTAGGACATTGTTTTTGGTGGGGCTCTAGGCGAGCCAGGACGCTTCGCCACTGCTTGAATCTAGAACCTCTGAGATCCGGCGGCCCTGGAGATCGCGTCGGGCGCCGCGGCCCTCTTCACAGCGCTCCAGAACCCTCCGGAAGCGTTCCAGGACCCTCAGGAGAAAGGAGGCCTCCTCGCCCGAGCCCCGCCCCACCCTGGCCATCGCTCGGACATCCACTCCCTGGTGCTTTTTTTTACCTAACAGCGAAGACTGATAGGTTTCTAGTGGTCTCAAAACCCTGACCTTCCAGAGAGCTATTTTTTAGCACTGGAGACCTAAAAACCTAAAAAGCTGAGCGAAACAGCCTAAAACCAAGACGTAGAATAGCTTTGGGATAGGTTTTTAAGTCGGGTGTTATTTTTTAGCCCTCCTGGAAGGTCAAGCAAGAAAGCATCTTGACGCCCCAGGGGGGTCTGGGCGGGATCGGGGCAAATCCGGACAGCCCCAAGGAATCCTTAGGAATCCTTAGGAATCCTTAGGAATTCTGAGGAATCCTTAGAAATCCATTCCCAGAACACAAAGCCCAGGCTGCATTTTGAATGCCCGGAGCCAACTGTAAGCCACTTCGTGTTCCCAGAACATCATTCCCATGCCACATTTTGAATGCCCGGAGCCAACTGTAAGCCACTTCGTGTTCTTCGTGTTCCCAGAACACCATTCCTGGGCCACATTTTGAATGCCCGGAGCCAACTGTAAGCCACTTCGTGTTCCGCGTGTTCCCAGAACGCCATTCCCAGGTCACATTTTGAATGCCCAGAGCCAACTGTAAGCCACTTCGTGTTCTTCGTGCTCCCAGAACACCATTCCCAGGCCACATTTTGAATGCCCGGAGCCAACTGTAGGCCACTTCGTGTTCTTCGTGTTCCCAGAACACCATTCCCAGGCGACATTTTGAATGCCCGGAGCCAACTGTAGGACACTTCGTGTTCTTCGTGTTCCCAGAACACTATTCCTGTACCGCCCGCATGCGTCACGCACACACATTTCGGCACACCCCTTACACGTTTCGTGGCCCCACAGGGAGCTCCACCGAAGGCCCCAGTGCCACCGCTCGCATACGTCACGCACACCCATTCCGGCACACCCATCACACGTTTCGTGGCCCCACAGGGAGCTCCACGGAAGGCCCCAATGCTACCGCCCACATGCGTCACGCACACCCACTCCGGCACACCCCTCACACGTTTCGTGGCTCCATAGGGAGCTCGACAGAAGGCCCCAGTGTCACCGCCCGCATTCGCCACGCACGCAAAGTTCGGCACGCCCCTCACACGTTCCGTGGCCCCTGCAGAGCTCCACCGAAGGCCCCAGTGTCACCGCCCGCATGCGTCACGCACATAAAATTCTGGCACACCCCTCACACGTTTCGTGGCCCCGCAGGGAGCTCCACCGAAGGCGCCAGTGGCTGCGCTCGCATGCGCCCACCGCACCCATTTCGGCACACCCATCACGCATTTCGCGGCACCATAGCGAGCTCCACCGACGGCACCAATTGCTGTTTTCGCATGCGCTCACCGCACCTATTTCGGTACACCTCTCACGCGTTCCGTGGCCCCATCGGGAATTCCGCCGACAGCCCCAGTGGCTTCTTTCGCATGCGCTCACCAGACACATGTTGGCACACCCCTCACATGTTTCATGGCCCTATAGGGAGCTCCTCCGAATGCGGTGCATACAACGACGGTATACTCACAACTGCATATGGTTAGGTGCTTCGCCAGGCTAGTCTTGTACCCCTCAGCTCGGCTCTTGTACCATGTCTTGCTCGATGACTCGGAGCATAGTGACCAGCACTGGGGATCTACGCAAGGAGCTCGCAACTGGGCATGCATCTATGCTGTCACTTGCAGGTATAGCTGCTGGGTCCTGGTAAATGGGGCGTGACATCAGGAGCCTTTGTTACTATGGTTCGCCCTCGATTGGACGACATGCAATATCTTATTGGCAGTACCTGAAGTGCCCCTGGCGACGCGCGGCGGAGACACACGCGGCAGCGCACCCGCATGAATGTGTTCTTCACGCGCATGACGCACACGCACAGCGCCACCGGGTCTTCCGTCATCTGGCGCTGAAAGGCGCCAGGCGGGCCGGCGAGGCTGAGGTCCTCGTCGTCCTCGTTCAGGCTGCCGCTGCCCGTGCTCTTCGTCTCGGCCAGCTCGAGCTTCTGTGGCTCCTTGAGGGAGCAACGTTCGGGGGGGAGCGCGTCGACCTGGATCGGCGATACAGTCGGGGCGCTGACCTAAGGAACCCTAAATAAGGAACGAGGCCTCTTTTCCCCACAAGTCAAACTTCGATTTCCTATCGAAGCCCTCAGCAAAACCAAGGGCGAACTGCAAAACCACTAAGGAACACCGAGCCCCCCCCCAACGAAAAGGGTTCCTTCCTCAGGACCCCGACTGTACATCGCCGACAGATCGGCGACAGGCCCAAGAGCGAAACCGAACGTTCCTGGGAGGGGCGTGCTGTCGGACCCCCATATCGGCGATGAGTGGGCGATTGGGGGTCGTCGATAGCCCCCCCCCCCCCGAGAGATCAAACGCACGTTTTCAATGCTGGTCGACGCGCGAAAGGCCGCCCACGGGGCTCGACTTTCGTGTGGCCGCCCGGGGCGACCCCGGCACCTCGGGAGCGCCCTCGGCGGGGCGCAGCCGCTGCTCGGCATGACCCGAGCCTGGAACACCGCCGAGGGCCGACGACACATCCAAGCTCTCGGGCCAAGTCTCGGATCACAACTCCCCTCCCACCTCCCGTCCTGTTCGGCGCCTGTTCGCACTGTTCTTTCTTCTTGCCCCTCCTCCTCCTCCTCCTCCTCCGCCTCCTCCTCCTCCTCCTCCTTCTCCTGCTCCTACGACCGGAGGCCCGGCGTCTGAAGGCGTCTCTCGGCTGGTCGGCAGATCACAGCTCTGCTCCACGGAGGCCGTTCGGGACGACCCCGGCACTTCGGGAGTGCCCTCCGCAAGGCGCAGGCGCTGGTCGGCATGACCCGAGGCTGGAACACCGCCGAGGACCGACGAAACATACCAGAGCCTCGGACCTCGAGCCTCGAAGCGTTCCCCCCGGAGCCTATCCTTAGGAGGAAACTCCTGGAGGCCTCGCGCGGACTTTGCGTCGAATGTGCGTCGGCGTACGTCGGAGGAAATCTCCGAGGAGGAAACCTCCAACCCAATCTACGCAGAATTTGCGTCGGCTCACGTCGGACCTGCGTCGGATGTGCGTCGGATGCGCGTCGGATGCACGTTGGACTTGCGTGCGCCAGAGCACCGCCGCGAGAACGTCGACCCAAATCTCACGGAGCGGACCCGTGGCCCAGATGACACAGCAATGGCGTGCCGCGCGAGGCCTCCACGATCTCCCTCCTAACTATCCTCAAGTCGGGCCTGTCACCCTACAGGGGGATTTTGGACGACAAATTTAAAAAATACCCCGAAAATGCATCCAAAATGGAAAGAACATGCTCCACAAATCGTCCCCAGGCTATTCTTTGACTAGTTTTTGAATTTTTCCCCCTGTAGAGGGACAGGCCCGACTTAAAACCCCTGGCTAGGGGGCCACACGCGAACCCTACCCCTACCCCCCACGATCCCTGAGGGGGAGGGAGGGGTTCACTCCGTTCGGGAGCTCCCGAGCGAAGTGAACCCCGCCCTCCCCCTCAGAAATCGTGGGGGTCTCAGGCGAAACGGCCAATCCCGGCCAACTCAGAAACGAGAGTTGTGAGGATGTCTCAAGCGAAACGGCCAAAACCATAAAATTTGTGTGAGGATGTCTCTGCTCCGCCTTCCCTCGGCCGGAGCTAGTTTCTACCACAACAGCACCCCGTTCAGCAAGCTGTCTGGGGAACTATCCTCCCCTGGCTAGGGGGCCACACGCGAACCCTACCCCTACCCCCCAACGGTTCTGAGGGGGGTAGGGCCGCCTCCGCCGGCGGAAGGGCGGCGGAAGGCGGCGGAGGTAAAAGATGCGCCCCAAGGAGACGAATTTGGGGAGGAGGAGGAGGAAGAGGAGGAGCAGGAGGAGGAGGAGGAGGAGGAGGAGGAGGAGGAGGAGGAGGAGGAGGAAGGGAGGAAGAGTATGAGGGTGGGTTCGCGTGTGGCCCCCCACTGGCGCTGCCCCCGACTCCCGCGGGGGCTCCGGCGGGCCGTCGCCGCGGCCCTCCGCCTCGGGCGGGCGCAGCTCGTGCGGGCCGTGGGCGTACATGCAGCCCTCCTGGGCGCACGCCTCCCCCTGGCAGGAGGAGGAGGAGGAGGAGGAGGAGGAGGAGGAGGAGCAGGGAGGAGATAGGAAGGAGGAGGAAGAGGAGGATGAGGAGGAAGGAGGAAGAGGAGGAGGAGAGAGGAGGGAGGGAAGGAGGAGGAAGAGGAGGGGAGAGGAGGGAGGAGGAGGAGAGGAGGAGGAGGAGGAGGAGGAGGAGGAGGAGGAGGAGGAGGAGGACGCCGCGCGCTCGGGGGCGGCTGTGTGACGGGACGCGCAGAGTGAAGGGGCCCCAGGACGCACAAATAAACACACGCACACAAATAGAAACATTCCCCACAGTTTCCAATCTTTTCTGGGTTTCTGTCTTCCCCCCCCCACTCTCCATATTTTCCTATATTTTCGGAGGAATCGAATATCAATAGTGTCTGTGTGTTTTTTCCTCTCCTGTCAGAGACATACTGATACGACATGTCCTCCTTGGAGGCGCGCGCCCGACCCGAACATATAGTACACAGGGCAGTTTTGAAGACATGCGATGTTTAAACATATGGGATGTTTAATACATGACTAACTTATGAATAAATGTATGCATGAACTCATCGTTGTTTTTAGTACGAAAGCCCTGCATGTTTAATACATGATCCGCACGCGGAGCATGTATAAAACACGGCACTGTACCCATCTTGTAGTATATTGTTTCCCGAGCGGTGTGGCCAGAAAGCGCCCGCCAGTACGCATACATTATACGACTTCTCCGTGCGCGCGTCGCCACTGGGGGGCGACGCACATATAGTGTAAGTAAGTTGGGGTGACGCCGATGTGATGATCGACCCCTGACCCAGAAGAATGGAGCGCGGTTCCTTACTTTCGGCGATAGTGGGCATCAGAGGAGGGGGAGGGGGAGGGGGCCGGAGGAGGGGGGCATAATGCAACGCCTCCCCCCGCCGTGTGCGCCCGATGCGCACGGCGGCAGTGCCCGGAGCGCACTGGGGGGGAAGGGGTGTTACGTTTCAGGGGGGGGGGCGGAGGCTGTCATGCCCATCGTGCCCCAAGCAATATAGAAACACGCTCATGCCTGTCCGTGTTGGGTGTAGCTTCGCAACTCTCTGTCGCCACAGACGGGTCGCCGAATCCGGATCCCTGTTCGTCGGGGAGGGGCCCAGTGCTCCTTCCATGCGAACGTTGCAGCTTGCCTTAGGATTTCCTCAGGCTGGCTAGGACAGGGGCTCCGCTCGTTCCTCAAGGTTCCGCATGACAGCGATTCAGCCATGCCTACGTGGCAGAGCGGGGGGAAGGGGCTTGGACGAGGCATGCTGCGCCTTGAGAGAACTCTTGCCCGGATTTGTGGCCGCCACGGTCGCCGCGGAGACCTTTAGAACCGATCAGGAGGTCTGGTTTGGGGTCGGATATCAGGCAGCGAAGGGGGGTTACAGTCGTCGTGCTCTCAGAAGGAAGGCTGCATGAGGAACGAGGGGGCTTGTCTGGCACGAGCGGTCCTAGCCCACGAAAGCCCGATCCCCTCGTGAGCCCCGGGTCGGCGGCGAGCGGGGGGGGGAAGTGAGAAGGGGCGGGCCTTCTCAGAAGGCTCGGAAGTGCCCGGAGCTTCTGACATGTTTTCTTCGGAGCCTTCCCCGAAGACGCAGACAACTTCCCAGAAGGCGCGAGGGCTTCTGAGAAGCCCCGGCCCGCCTTCTGAGGACGCCTCCTCCTTCTCGCTTCCCCTCCCTCCCCGTCGCTCGGACGTCTATTCCCTGTGTTTTTGTCGGTTTCGTGCGTGCTTTTGTCGCAGGATGATCCAGGATGCTCCTCAATAATCACCGCCGAGACAAGGTGCACACGTCCGAGCGATACCAAGCTCCTCGCTGGCCACAGAGCAAGGGAAGCCTTGGCAAGGACCGCACATCGCGCGCCAGAGGACAGCACAAGCAACACACCTCTTGGAGGACCGCACATCGCGCGCCGGAGTGAAGGGGCCCCGGGACACACAAACCAATACACACACAAATAACAGGATTGCCCATCTTCTCACATATTTCCTGGGTTTCTGCCTTCCCTCCCCCACACTTCCCATATTCTCCCCTTTTTTCTACAAGCCTCGTCATACATCAACAGAAACGCAGTTGGAAATCACGAAGATCGATCTTCTCGGGCACTTGATAGAAACTGCGTTCTTCAATGCTGCGGAGGGGTCGCCGGATTTTTGAAGCCCTTGTGCGCCCACGTCAGATATCTAGCGTCAGCATTGGAGTAGAAAACATAATCCCTCAGTTTATTTTTGACGAGGGTTGCAGGAGAGCCCAGGATCGGATCGACAAGTCGGATCAGCGATCGACATGAATCGGATCGTCGGAAATCGGCAGTTGAGTCGGGAAAAGTCGGATCGGCAGAAATCGGCAGGCTAGTATGCCTCCAAGAAGAAATCGGAATTCAAATCGGAATCCCAGATCGAATCGAATCGGAATCGGAAACCATCGAAATCGAATCGAATCGAATCGGAGGAATCGAAACGAGCCCTGGGGTTGTAGGGGATCGAAGATTTCTGGTGTCCGTGTGCTTTCTCTCCTCCCGGCAGAGGACCGCACAAAGACAACCAAAACCTCTCTCGGAGGCCCGGCCCCCCCGCGCGCAAAGCCCCCCCCCCTTGCAAGGGCGCGCCGCCCGCCGCCCAACCCCTTAATTAATAACCCCCGCCGAGAAAAAGGGTGCTGGCCACAGCGCGGGAGGAGGAGGAGGAGGAGGAGGAGGAGGAGGAGGAGGAGGAGGAGGAGGAGGAGGAAGAGGAGGAGCGGGGGAAGCCTTGGCAAGGGACCCTGGGGCACACACACAAACAAATACACACGCAAACCACAGGATGGCCCATCTTTTCCCACATTTTTTCTGGGCTTCTTTCCCCCCCCCACTTCCCATATATTTTCCCCTATTTTTGTTCGAGGGGATCGAGGACTTCTGGTGTCTGGGTGTCTCCTCTGTTCCGGACAGGAGGGCAACACAAACACCAAAACCTCTTGGGGGCCCGCCCCCCGCGCGCCGCCCCCCCTGTTGCGGGCGCGCCGCCCACCGCCACCACGGAGGGGCACATCTTCGTGAAGCGCAGGTCCGGGAGCGGGCGCAGCTCCGCCTCGCTGTGGGCGAACATGCACCTCGCTGGGGTTCGAGCGGGCTCGAGAGGCTCGAGGATGCTCGATAGGGGGTTCGAGCAGGCTCGAGGAGCAGGCTCGAGAAGGGTTCGAGGAGGTTCGAGGAGGCTCGAGGAAGTTCCCTGCAGTTCGAGGAGGCCCCGCTGTCGGGTCGGGCGAAAGGGGGGGATCGCAAAGGGGGGATAGCATAGGGGGGGATTAGCAAAGGGGGGACAGGAAAGGGGGGATAGCCCCCCCTTTCCCAATCCCCCCCTCTCGTTCGGCCCGAACCGGGAGCCAGAGAGCAGCCCGCGGAAGCTCTCCTGGCCGTCCCCATGGCGCCCAGCAGCGTCAGGAGCTCCAGGGTTCGCCGGGGACCGGCCTTCCCCCAGGGACGACCGAGAGCCTGTTTTTTTGTAGACTCTGGCAAGTTTACTTGCATGGACGTGGGGGGGGGGCTGAGCCGGAAGCAAGCCGCAAACGACTTGCACGTTCGGGGGGGCGCGGAAATCACGCAAGTCGAAAGGCACTTGCACGCCAGTGTTCGCTTGAAGAGGGGCGAGGGGGGGGGGGGGGCGAACGCCATGCAAGTAACCTTGCCTGAATCCAAAAAAAAACAGGCTCCGAGGTCCCTCCCGAAGCCATCCCAGAGGCCTCCCGGAAGCCGTGCGCGAGGGGCTCTTCCCGGAGTGCGCGCGGGCGGGCTCTTCGGCCCTCTGGGCACACACGCCCGCTCCCTGGCGAGACCTCGACCTGCTCACAGCAGCGCTCGGCGCGAACAGGCCGCACCTCCCTCACGCCGCGCTATTCGGCACTCTTTTTTTTGCTACGGAGCCTCTAGGGTTCTCTTTCCTTGAAGTGGCGCAGGGCCAAGGCGGTCGCCCCGCCGCGCTGTTCGGCACTCTTTGACGAGCGATCAGCACGCACCCATACCCATCGGGGAGACGGAAGGAGCTATGGGTGCGTGTTGGCGGATAGGGGTCCCCGCTCGAGCGGGAGCCTCCTCAGGGGCCCGACAGCCCGCACCCATACCCATAGCCAGGCCTTCTCCCTCCGACCTCCCTATGGGTATGGGTGTGTGTTGTTCGTTCGTCGCTCCCACCATCGCCATCGCTCGCCACCGCTCGAACGTCCATTTCCTGTGTTTTTCTCGGTTTCGTGCGTGGTTTTTTTTTGCGAAATGATCAAGGATGCTCCTCGATGGTTCTCGCCGAGGAAACATGCACACGTCCGAGCGATGCCAGGTGCATCTCCCTCGCGCCGCGCGATTCGGCACCCTCGGCCGCGCTCTCGGGCGAGGCAAATGCCTGCTCTTCGGCCTCCTCCTCCTCCTCCTCCTCCGCCTCCGCCTCCTCCTCCTCCTCCTCCTCCTCCTCCTCCTCCTCCTCCTCCTCCTCCCCTCCCCCTCCCCCTCCCCCTCCTCCTCCTCCTCCTCCTCCTCCTCCTCCTCCTCCTCCTCCTCCTCCTCCTCCTCCTCCTCCTCCTCCTCCAAGCGGGGGAGCTCCCGTGGTGCACGGTCGAAGTGGAGGAGCGGCTACTTCTCTGGATGTTCTCAGCTCCCCGTCGCTCGGACGCCTGTTCCCTGTGTTTTTTGTCGGCTTCGTGCGTGGTGCTTTCGCAGGTTGATCCAGGATGCTCCTCCAGAATCCCCGGCGAGAAAAAGTGCACACGTCCGAGCGATACCAAGTCAGTCCCCGCGTTGTTCCTCGACTCTGGCTCCCGGGCCCCGGGGCTTTCAAGCATAAGTCCGGGACGAAGGACTACCCCCAGGGGAGGGATCGGTATACCTCCGAAGCTGGAGACAGAACAGACCACATCGAAGGATGAATGGGATGGCGGAAGCCAAGCAGGGAGGAGGTGGTGGACAGAAGGAGGTGGCTCGCCCTGGAACCCTTGGACAACGGAGACGATGACTTCCCCCTGGGTGGGCAACTGTGGCTTCCGCCGCTTTTCCGCGGGCGAGTCCGCCCCCGTTTTGCCTCCACGAGCTTCCACCAGCGTTCCGGAGGCTCCAGAAATGGAAGCGGAGAGAAGCGGATCAGGCACAACGCCTGACCTGGTGCGCTTCCTGCAGCGCCCTCGCTTGAAAAAGAACTCGCAGTATTTTGTCTTCTGGAACTTGCTCCTCATCCGCGCGGGCAATTCGTCCAACGCCTCCTGGTCATCGGTGTCGCCGGTAGCCCCGCCGCTTCCGCTCACGGCGAAACCTCACAAACCGACCACCCGATTCAAGCCGATCCGACCCAACGTGAAGAGGTGCGCCTCTCCTTCGTGCTCCTTCCCCCTTCGCCTCCGCAAGTGTTGTCTTTGCTCTGCCACTGGTCTCAAGCGCGATCCCGCCTGCGATCTTGGCCAGGCCAAGGCCGACCGATCGACCCGACCCGTTTGACCTCTCGACGCGATCTGGCCCGACCGGTCGACGCCGAGCCGCCTAGCCGACCGACCACAGGACACTCCATCCATTGGAAGTACGGTAGAGGGAAACAATTACTGAACACTCCCCCTCCCCCCCAAACTCAATGTTGGCACGCGCGGGGGAGACTGCGGTCGAAGTGCATCTCATCAGACCCACCGCTGACTTTGAACATTGGGGGGAGGGGGAGGCGTTGACGGATGAATGTGGCATGTGTTCGCTAATTTGTTCCGAGGCCTGTACGATCCACCCGAAATCCGATGGACGGTCATAGGGGAACGAACCATGGCATAAGCATAAAAGCTCGGAGGTCCGCGCGGGCTTCTCGGATCGGCGCTGGACCCCCCCCTGGCGGCGCCTCCGGCGCCGCCCCCAGCGCGCTCCACGCGCCGAGGAGGAGGGTCCAGCGCCGATCCGAGAAGCCCGCGCGGACCTCCGAGTTTTTCTGCTTCTGTCATGGTTTGATCCCTAGGTCAGTGAGTGGATCGACGATCGAGGATATGGCCCTGGTCGACGCATCGAGGCCTTCTGAGAGGCAACGATCGGGGGGGACTGGCATAGGGGGGGAAACCTCGACCTGGAGTCGGCGGTACATCGCCGACAGGTCGGCGATCGGCCCCGATGGCAGCTTCGCACCCTCCTGGGCGGATTTGGGGGCGGTTGGGCCCTCCTCGGCGATCCCTGGGCGATTAGGGGTCGATGCATCCCCCCCTGTGCCTACCCCCCCTACAGGGCAGTTTATAGTACATAGGATTTTTTAAAAGTATAGGATTTGTAGTACATGATCAATGTATGAACAAATTTATGCATGCACTCATCGTTGTTTTTTATTCTAAATTCCTGCATTTTAAATACATGATCCGCACGCGGAGCATGTATTAAAAACGGCACTGCTTTGCTGCCCCTCATCTTCTGAGCGACTGGCCTGCGACAGAGTCGACGGGCGCGAGCGTCGGGCTGCCGTCGGCGTGGCTCATGTCCCCCGCCGCGCGGCAGCCGCTCATCGCTCGCGGGCGGGGACGCCCGCGACGCGCAGCTGGAACGCCATGCGCGCACTGGCCTCCTCCTCCGCCTCCTCCTCCTCCTCCTCCGATTGTGATCTTGACGTTGACGAGCGAGATCCGCCGACCTGCAGCTGGAAAGCCGTGCGCGCAGTGGCCTCCTCCTCCTCCTCCTCTTCTTCCTCCTCTTCCTCCTCCTCCTCCTTCTCCTCCTCCGATTGTGATCCTGACGGAGACGAGCGATATCCGCCGACCCCCGCTTGCCTGCAGTGACAGGGGCGTGGGAGACGATTCGGCTTTGTCCGTTCCCTTTCCCCCCCTCCCCTGGATCCAGGATGCCGTTGGAGGGGGGGAACGCCTGCAGAGGTTCCCAAGAAGCTCCACAGAGACCCCCAGGTGCCCCCAGACAGTCCCAAGAGGGCTCCAGAAGAACCGCCAGGAGGGCCCCAAGGAAGCTAACATCATGGATGTCCCCTCAGTTCTTGATGCGTCTTCGTCTACTCGCTCCCAACGCTCCGAGACGGCTCCAGAGGCCCACAACATCGCTCTTCGACGACCCAGATACCCCCAAACGAGCACCGCGACTACACAAGAAGGCGCCCACACCGCCTAAGAAGCCCGCCAAAGGTCCCAGGATGCCCTGCAGACAGCCCCGCCTCTGGACGGCGCTGCTGGACAAACGCAGGGGAAGGAACAAAAGGAGGAGGAGAGGGAGGAGGAGGAGGAAGAGGAGAAGGAAGAAGGGGACGATACACACAAAAAAAAATGATGCCCCATAGTTTCCCATGTTTTCTTGGTTGTTTGTCGCCCCCCCCCCCACTTCCCATATTTTCCAAGACGGGGCCTCGATGGGAAAACTGAAAATCCATCTCGAGACTCCCACCGCAGGAAAGCCCCAAGGGGCCCCCACTGCTCGAGAAGATGGCTTCCTCGCGCACGCGGGGCGGCCCATGAAGGGTCCCCCGATCCTGGACCAGAGATGTTTTTCTCCTCCTCCTCCTCCTCCTCCGCCTCCTCCTCCTCCGCCTCCTCTTTCCTCTGGGCGTGGCCTTCGGGGCCCACAAAGGCGCTCCGAATCGGCGGGGCGCTTCAGCAACCGGCCCACGATGGCCCACGATGATGCCAATACGTCCCAAGTGCGCTCTGAGACGAGCGACGATGGCCTCAGGAAGGCCTCAGAGGGTCCCAGGACAGCCCAAGACCGCTACAAGACAGCCCAATGTCGCCTCAAGCAGCCCAAGAGGCCCCCCAAAAGCGCTCCAAGAGGACACCTCAGAAGGCCGCAATAGAGAGAGAGAGAGAGAGACGACATGGACTTGCCTTCGGTACTTCGGCGATTCTCATGTCCTTGCCTTTTCGGGCGTCCGCCGGCTCAAGACAACCCGAAAGGCCTTCAAGATGGCCCCACGATGCCCCTGGCACGAAGCACGAAGCACGCCCGCCCGCCCGATCACAAGTCCGAGTCGACCTTGTTCCTAAACTCCTCTGTGGCAACTTCCAATATCTCTTGCCCTTGAGGCTGGAGATCTTGCCCTTGAGGCTGGAGGTCGACAGGTGGAGGTCGAGTGAGGCCCCCAGGAGGGCCTCAAACTGACGCGTGAGGCCCCCAGGAGAGCCTCAAGATCACTCCCAAGTCGGCCCAGGAGGCCGCCTGGACGGCCACAGGGACGGCCCAGGAGGGCCTCCCCGGAGGGCTCCGGAGACTCCCAAGAGGGCCCTGTGATTGTGGACGCCACGGCAATGGACACCCTAACAGTCCTATCATTGAATTTAAAATATGTTTACGCTGTCAGAAACATGTACTAAAACATGTGTTGAAGACGTTTTTTACATGTTCAAGCCATGTTTGTTTACACGTTCCCGACATCTGGAAATCATTTGGCAACACGCTTCCTCTCCATGGATCGTCCTCCACAACCGCTACGAAGGGGGAATCCGAGCAGACATGCCGACCATTCCCCGAGACGTGGCCCCCGAGACCACCCGCAAGCTCCCAAGAGGCCCCCGGAAAGCCAAAGGGCGCCCACAGGGGCCTCCGGAAGCCTCACGAGTGCCGCCAAGGAGGCTCCGACGCGACTCCCGAGAGACGTCAGCAAGGCCTCTTGAGGAGACATCTTGTCCGCGACCCCGTCTGGCCCCAAGAGTGCCCCAACGAGCAATCGAGATGCCTCCTCCCCCTCCAACCTGCTGCTCCTCCTCCTCCTCGCCCGCTACAAGCTCACCGACAGCCAGAAACAGTGATGCAACATGGGCAGGCGTAACGAGCGAAGATGAAATAAGGCTCCAAGAAACCAATCGCGATTTCAGAGGCGTCCCAAGACGGGCCAACTCGCCAGGGCTCCACGGTGCTCAGGAGCTCGCAGGCGGTCCGAGGGGCTCTCGGACGCGTCCGGGCTTCTCCTGGCGCTCCCCAAACTCCTTGGCGTCACCGAGCACACAGAGGCGTTACCGAGCTCCGCCAGACGCTGACAAGCGCTCCCTGGGAATCCCAAGCGCTGCCGTGCGCGCATTCGTTTTTTGAAAATCCGTGTGTGCGAAACATTGTGTTTTATATGTGTTTTGGACACTCGATTTTTGAAATCTTTACGAAACCAACGGTTTTTGAAGGATGTCGGCACGCGAGCGCAACAACGCGCGCGTGCGCACTTCTTCCCGTTGATTCGCAAGGAATTTAAAGCACCTGATGATTTGTGATAAACGAGTGCGCGCGCATAGTACTTTTGCAGAGGATGGCGGGCGGGCGGATACCGGCTGGGCTGGGACGTTACGCATTCATATGGAGGACAGACGATGGGGCAGAGCCATATGTAAATTGCACATCCCCCATCGGGAGGGACTAAACATGGGGGTCTGGGCCAGGTGGGGCTGGCCGAGAAACTGGCCTTCTGGCCCAAGGTACCCCCAGGATTCTCGGCGTGGCACAGGCGGCCTCCAGGGCACCCCTTACGAGGCCCAGGGGGCCCCAGGGGCGCCAAAATGGAGCGGAAAGCTGGGGGCACCTTGGGCCAGGGGCAGTTCTAGCAACACCCGACAGAGGAGAGCGCCCCATCCTGGGGCACTGCCACGGGGGGGTCACGACTACAGTTAGGTCGGGCCTGTCCCCCTATACCCCTATAGGGGGATTTTGGGCGACAAATCAAAAATACAATAAAAATACACCCACATGGTCAACAAATATGGGAAACATAGTCCCCGGATCATTTTTGGACTACAGTCGGACTACAATCGAACTGGATTGGACAGGACACGCGAGAGGACACAAGACCCTTCCGAGGTTTCGGGAGCCACATTGCCATATCAAGGTAAGGAGGCCTGGGTCGCGAGACACAGGACACAAATGTTCCCTTGATTTGGCAGGGCCGACCTACTAATCTGGGCCGACTGTACAGTCAGCCCGTATCGCAAGGATGCGCGGTAAGGATGCAGGGGCCTTGGAAAGCCATGCCGACACTCTGCAAGCGGGGCGCGGCCAGCGGAAGTGGCCAAGGATGGACCGAGGAGGCAAGGGTACCCTTGGGAAGGTTGCACATCACTATGCGGGCTCACTGTACAAGTCTCGCGGAGCCTCGTCTCTATCAGAGAAGCGTCGTGACCCAAACGATGCCCAGAGATCAGCCTGAAGGGTGACCAAGACTGGGGCCCGAAGTTTTGCTGGCCGCGCCCCAGTGTGACCGATATTATTGTTTCGAAACCAATACGATGTTCAATGTCGGTCACACATTCGGTCACACCACGTTTTCGGTCAGAACTTCGGGCAAGTGTTCGGTCACAATTTGTCTCCGGTCACCTACCTTTTCGGCTGATAGGGGCCAGGTGCCATGGCAAGGTCGGTCGCGAGCGAAGCCGCAGAGCGGCGTTTGACAATGCGCCGTCGTCAAGCGGCCCCTTCGAAGCTGACGGGCGCAGGTGGTGACCCCCTTGGCACTGCCCGAGATCCAGCCGGCCGAAGAGAGAGACGTGCATCGCAAGCGCTGCCCTGGCGGCGGTTGCCGCCAGGGCGGCGCGGGTGGACAGCGCTGCCATCGAACAGTTCGGCCAGCAGTGTAGGATAAGTCACGTGTCGTGAAGAAGTGCCTGCCAAAATGGGCACGGAGCAGCCAGGGTGGAGAAGGAGCAGCAGCAGCAGGAGGAGGGTCTTTGCAACGACGAGGACAGGAGCAGAAGAAGCGCGAAGAGAAGGAAAGGGATGGGAGGTAGAGAAGATAATTGGGAGGGGATGATGGAGAAAGAAGGGAAACATGACGAAGAGCAGGAGAACATGTGAGAAGGAGGATAGAGACGATCTCGATGGGAAGGAGAGGGGGGAGCACGGGACGGGGGAGGAAGGAATCAAACTTACGCGGTGAGTTGCACGGGCCGCCAGCGCGGCGCGCCACATTGAAAGCGAGAGCGCTTCCGCGCGACTATCCGCGAGCAGTTTACGCGCCGATGTCGGCGCAGTCGACCCCATTTTGTTCCGCCGCTCCTCCCTCCTCCCTCCTCCCTCCTCCCCCTCCTCCTTCCCTCCTGCCTCCTCCCTCCTCCTCCTCCTCCTCCTCCTCCTCCTCCCTCCTCTCCTCCTCCTCCTCCTCCTCCTCCTCCTCCTCCTCCCTCCTCCTCCTCCTCCTCCCTCCTCCTCCTCCCTCCTCCTCCTCCTCCTCCTCCCCTCCTCCTCCCCTCCTCCCTCATTCCTCCTCCTCCGAAAATCCTCCTGCCTCCTCCCTCCTCCTCCCTCCTCCTCCCTTGCCCCCGCGACGCTGTCTGGCAGCCGAGGCGCGCGGGCGGGCCTTGTGGCAACGCCCTCAGCCGGCGCACCGCGGGGCCGCCCGCGTCGCCCTCGCGGTCGCCGGCGGAGTCTGCCGGGGCGGCGAGCTCCTGGAGGACAGGGTCGGGCCGCCAAGAGGGCGTGTCACTTTCACCGCAACAGGTCTTCAGAACCCCCCCCAGTTGAAAACTGACTACAGCCAACCCGTAGCATAAGGACGCGCAATAAGGATGCAAGGACCTTGGAAGGCCGTTTCGACACATTGCGAGCGGGACGCGGCCAACCAAAGTGGC